ATCCAGGATCACGCACATCAGATTGGTAGGTTTGATCGAAATCTCCCTCGCTAATTATCACTAAATAACAAACTAATAAAATATCAGACTTGCTAATCAAGAGCAGACAGTTACTTCCGATTACAAGTAGAATAATAATAAAACAGCTGACCCTTAGCAGAGTTATGAAAATGGAAACTGTCCAAAGAAGCCAAAATCGATTTTTGTACCAGAGCGTAAACATGTTTTTTTTGGGGGGGGGAAAGAGACTGGAATTCATTGTATCAAGTTATCATCGATCAAAAACTAAGCTAACATGCATGCCTTCGGAATGTGGGAGGTAAAGAAACCAGAGACAGCACAGAGGAAACATGCCAACTCTACACGGCGGTAATTTTTGGTCCTGGAAGCTCTGCAAGCAGGCGAACCTTATGGTTTGATGTTACCCTTTTAATTTCAGGCCACACAGATGATTCTGAGGAAATTGAGCAACATGGTGTAGGTTTACGTTTCAAATATTCCTCTTGAAATGATAACAACAGAAAAGTATACATCTGATCTTTCCAGCTGCCCAGTTTTCCAGCCACATAACTGACTACAGATAAATATATGAACTGCTCTATTTATAAGTGTTTAACACTTTGTTGCCCTGTTCAGAAGTCATCTTTTTTTGTAAAACAACCCTTTAGCAGTCGGTTATCCACATTACACTAACATCTGCATGGAGCAAGGCATTGCTGGAACTGTTCCTGGCTTTTTGATGCCGTAAAGTTGTGTCTTTAGTACTTTTATAATCTTACTGATCAGTCAAGTACTTTTAGCAAACCACATTTAACTACACGTACATACAATGCATGCAGTACATATTCATTTTTATTTATTTACACCTTAAGCACTTTACAACTCACATCCGTGGAAAATTTAGCACCAGATACTAGTAAAACTAACATGCATCTTTCTGACTCTGGGACGAAGCCATCAGGAGGGACGTGGAAAACATGTCAACACCAGATAAAGGCTGTTTTTGGCACTTCCAGATCGGGTTGGATGGTTTATAGTTACCTTTTGAAATCCAGCCTACACACATGATTCTAATAAAATCTTTGAACATGGTGTGGATTTCAGCACATTTTAATATTAGAGTACATTTTAATATCATTTCAATATTTCCCAGAAAGCTTCAGTTTGTCAACCATATCACTTACTTCAAACATCACTTTGATGGACCATATAGACCAGGGAAGGGCAACTCCAGGCCTCGAGGCAGGTGTCCTGCAGGTTTTAGATGTGTCCTTGATCCAGCACAGCGAGTTGCCCACCCCTGATATAGGCCCTACATTTTTTCTACATTAAAAAAAAAAAAATCTGTTCTGGGCATTCAGCCAGAGACGTGTAGCGGTTGATAGGCAACAGTTTAGTTTGGTTGTGACGCACTTTGACGTCACAACCAAGGGATATTATATCTCTCTACCTCTGTCTTGCTGTGTGTGTGTGTGTATATATATATATATAT